TAGGGCCCTCCATTCTGCTGTTCCATCGCCCACTCTGCCATGTGCCATTTAGGTCCCTCACCTGTGGGGGGTTCCATTTTGTCATGGGGTGCTGGCAGATTGGGGCCCCCCTTTGCTGCTCCCAGGCCTAATTGCAGGGGCCCCCCGTCCCGCCCCCTCATGCTGTCCCCCCGGCCGTTTGTCAGGGCCCCTGTACGGCCCCCCTTTGCTGCTGCCCAGCAATTGCTGGCCCTTTACTCCTCCCATGCTGGGGCCTTTTGCAAGGGGCCAGTTGGGGGCCCCCTTTGCTCTGCCGGGCCCCGTAATCTGATGGGCCCCTTACCGCCCCCTCAGCGCTGCCAGGTCCAGGTGTGTTCATGGGTCCCTGTAGGGGCCTCCCATTGTGCTGTCTCCATCGCCACACCTCCTGTCCCACTTTCTTTCCCTCACACTCTGGTGGTTTCCATTTTTGTCATAGGGGACTGCAGATACGGCTTCCCATTGCTGCTCCCGAGGCCCGTAATCTGCCATGGCCCCTGTAACCGACCATCCTCATCTGCTGCCAGTCCAGAGTTGTCATGTCCCTTAACGGAACCTCCCCATTGCGCTGCTCAGGTCAGAGTGTGTCTTGGGTCCCTGTACGGGCCTCACAATTGCTGCTGCCTCGCCTACCACTTTCTGCATGCCAACTTTCAGGTCTCCTCACTCTGCGTTGGGTTCCATTTAGTCATAGGCGGTGCTAGCAGTATTACGTGCCTCGCCATTGCTGCTGCCAGGCCCGTAATCTGTCATGGGGCCCCCCTGTACCGCCTCCTTCATGCTGCTGCCAGGCCAGAGTCAAATCTCATGGGTCCCTGTACGGCCTCCCATGCTGCTGTCTCCATCGCCACACCTCTGACCAATGTGCACACTTTCAGGTCTCCTCACACTGCATGGTGGGTTCTGATTTTGTCATAGGGTGTCTGGCAGATTACGGGCCTACCCTTTGCTGCTGCAAGGGCCGTGTAATCTGCCATGGGCCCCATCGTAGGTCTCCTCACACTGCTGATGGGTTCCATTTTGTCATAGGGTGCTGGCAGATTACGGACCTCCCATTGCTGCTGCCAGGCCCGTAATCTGCCAATGGGCCCCCGTACGCCTCCTCATGCTGCTGCCAGGTCCCAGAGTGTCTCATGGGTCCCTGTACGGCCTCCCATTGCTGCTGTCTCCATCGCCACACTCTGCCATGTGCCACTTTCAGGTCTCCTCACACTGCTGGTGGGTTTACATTTTGTCATAGGGTGCTGGCAGATTACGGGCCTCCCATTGCTGCTGCCAGGCCCGTAATCTGCCATGGGCCCCCGTACCGCCTCCTCATGCTGCTGCCAGGTCCAGAGTGTCTCATGGGTCCCTGTACGGCCTCCCATTGCTGCTGTCTCCATCGCCACACTCTGCCATGTGCCACTTTCAGGTCTCCTCACACTGCTGGTGGGTTCCATTTTGTCATAGGGTGCTGGCAGATTACGGACCTCCCATTGCTGCTGCCAGGCCCGTAATCTGCCATGGGCCCCCGTACCGACTCCTCATGCTGCTGCCAGGCCCGTAATCTGTCATGGGCCCCTGTACCGCCTCCTCATGCTGCTGCCAGGTCCAGAGTCTCTCATGGGTCCCTGTACGGCCTCCCATTGCTGCTGTCTCCATCGCCACACTCTGCCATGTGCCACTTTCAGGTCTCCTCACACTGCTGGTGGGTTCCATTTTTTCATAGGGTGCTGGCAGATTACGGGCCTCCCATTGCTGCTGCCAGGCCCGTAATCTGCCATGGGCCCCCGTACCGACTCCTCATGCTGTGACGTTGCAACAAGGTGGAATTCAACCCTACATATGTTAAACCGCCTTTACGAACAGCGAAAGGTCCATCACCGATTTCCTGATGTTACAAGCGGATAAAGGTACTCCCCTGTGTAACTTAGATGTCAGCCATTGGCAGCTCATGCGTGACACCTGCCGCTTGCTCAGGCCCTTTGAGGAGGCCACGCTATTCGTGAGTCGGCAGGACTATGGGATGAACGACGTCATTCCTCTGTTGCACGTCCTGGAACAAATGCTGTTAACAATGGCTGGTCAGGGTGCGGTAGACGTGGCGCACAGATCTCAACACCACATGACCCCTGTGGGGGCAGGACAGGAAGAAGAGGAGGAGGTAGAGGAGGACATTTGTGCTCAGGAATTATTGAGTGAAATGGGTGGTTTTTCCACTCAGCGGACAGGAGTGGAGGAGCAGGAGCATCTGGTAGAGGAGGGAGGAGGAGACAGAGGACCCAGACGCACCGTGGCAGTATGCTGTGGAGATGGAGGCAGGGAGTCCCTCGCATTCCTTGGCACAAATGGCCCATAGCATGCTCGGTTGCTTGCGTAGCGACAGCCGAATAATAACCATCAGACAGAGGGATGACTTTTGGCTGTCCACCTTGTTGGACCCTCGCTACCGTTCCAAAATGGTGGCCTTTTTCACACCTGCTGAGAGGGAGGCCAAAATAACGTACTATAAAAAACCACCTATGTAGTCAGTTGGTCTCTGCCTTTCTGCGCCAACGTCCATCCTCAGACACTGTGGGCCCTGTGCGCTCGCGTTCCGCTGCCATGGCAGCAGGGGAGGGGTGGGGTGGTAGGAGCAGTGGCAGCTCCACCAGCAGCGGCTGCCTCAGTCTGCAGTCGATGATGAGTAGCTTTCTTCACCAGCGCAGTGAGGAAACTACTAACCAGCCGCAGCAGCAGCAGCAGCATCAGGTGGACCTGGAGCAGGAGCTCAAACAACAGGCTTGGGCCTACTTGGACAGCACCCTGCCAACCGAGGTAGACAATCCCCTTGACTACTGGGCAACGAAACTTGACCTTTGGCCCCAACTAGCTGAATTTGCCCTTGAAAGGCTGTCATGCCCGGCCAGTAGCGTGGCATCGGAGCGCGTGTTTTAGTGCGGCAGGAGGTATTGTAACTCCGCGGAGGACACGACTGTCCACCCAAAGTGTGGAGAGACTCACGTTTGTGAAAATGAATCAGGCGTGGATTAGTCTGGATTTCAAACCACCAGTTCCTGACACAACTGACTAAATCCGCCATGAATCATGCCCCAAACATGTTATTATTTTTAACATGCTGGCCTCTGTATGGCTTCAATTTAAGCTGCTTACGCTTCGCCACTCTGCCATGGGCCCCTGTACCGCCTCCTCTTGCTGCTGCCAGGTCCAGAGTGTGTCATGGGTCCCTGTACGGCCTCCCATTGCTGCTGTCTCCATCGCCACACTCTGCCATGTGCCACTTTCAGGTCTCCTCACACTGCTGGTGGGTTTCCATTTTGTCATAGGGTGCTGGCAGATTACGGGCCTCCCATTGCTGCTGCCAGGCCCGTAATCTGCCATGGGCCCCCCCCGTACCGACTCCTCATGCTGCTGCCAGGCCCGTAATCTGTCATGGGCCCCTGTACCGCCTCCTCATGCTGCTGCCAGGTCCAGAGTGTGTCATGGGTCCCTGTACGGCCTCCCATTGCTGCTGTCTCCATCGCCACACTCTGCCATGTGCCACTTTCAGGTCTCCTCACACTGCTGGTGGGTTCCATTTTGTCATAGGGTGCTGGCAGATTACGGGCCTCCCATTGCTGCTGCCAGGCCCGTAATCTGCCATGGGCCCCCGTACCGACTCCTCATGCTGCTGCCAGGCCCGTAATCTGTCATGGGCCCCTGTACGCCTTTCTCATGCTGCTGCCAGGTCCAGAGTCTCTCATGGGTCCCTGTACGGCCTCCCATTGCTGCTGTCTCCATCGCCACACTCTGCCATGTGCCACTTTCAGGTCTCCTCACACTGCTGGTGGGTTCCATTTTGTCATAGGGTGCTGGCAGATTACGGGCCTCCCATTGCTGCTGCTGCCAGGCCCGTAATCTGCCATGGGCCCCCTGTACCGATCTCCTCATGCTGCTGCCAGGCCCGTAATCTGTCATGGGCCCCTGTACCGCCTCCTCATGCTGCTGCTTAGCCCAGGCCCGTATCTGTCATGGGCCCCTGTACCGCCTCCTCATGCTGCTGCCAGGTCCAGAGTCTCTCATGGGTCCCTGTACGGCCTCCCATTGCTGCTGTCTCCATCGCCACACTCTGCCATGTGCCACTTTCAGGTCTCCTCACACTGCTGGTGGGTTCCATTTTGTCATAGGGTGCTGGCAGATTACGGGCCTCCCATTGCTGCTGCCAGGCCCGTAATCTGCCATGGGCCCCCTGTACCGACTCCTCATGCTGCTGCCAGGCCCGTAATCTGTCATGGGCCCCTGTACCGCCTCCTCATGCTGCTGCCAGGTCCACAGTGTGTGTCATGGGTCCCTGTACGGCCTCCCATTGCTGCTGTCTCCATCGCCACACTCTGCCATGTGCCACTTTCAGGTCTCCTCACACTGCTGGTGGGTTCCATTTTGTCATAGGGTGCTGTATGGCCTCCCATTGCTGCTGCCTCCACCGCCACACTGTGGCTCCACACTCTGGTTTTGGCCCCGTGACTGCCCAAATGAGTGAAGTGTGCGGTGATTCTAAGATCGACGGCACTCATCTGCATGTCATACTGACTGACAGTATTATTTCTCTTCCCCAGCAGACTCCAAGGGCATTTAAATTAAAGGTACAGTGTTCTGCACTAATATAAAGGCTCTCTGAAGCCTAGAAACACCCTTTTTATAAGTTAAATTCGCAGCGAATATATTCGCCTCGAATCTAATTTATTCCTCGAATTCGCCGAATCAGCCGAATCGAATTTTTGAATACTTCGCTCATCTCTAATTACCATAGCAAGATATTCCACATAGATTTTTGCGCCCATAGGTGTAGCCATCGTTACACCACCAGTAACTATTGACCTGGAAGATGCCATATTCAGAGGGGCTTCTGTTCAAGGTGTGGTCATAGTAACTGGCATAATGAACCAAACACATATCTGAAAAAAAAAAAAGCAAAAATATATTTTACTTATGCATCTTTAGAAAATCTATGGTAAAACTCAAAACCTTTTCAGAGCTCCTAATTATCATGGTGTATATAACTCATCAACAATTACTGTATGTCTCAGTTTCTGAAGCTGGTGAATGTCTAATAACAGAAAAAACTGCTTAAAGCTTTATTAAAATCAGCACAAGGGACAGTACTTACCGTACATTGATTACGCAGTGAGCCTTGTGCTGGTAGCTGCTCTCCTTTAAAGTGTTACTAAACCCACAACAGTAAAATCAGTCTGTATATGCAGTAAAGTATGCTTGTTATACTCACTGTGGAACCTAAGGGGTTAATCCCCTGCATTGTGTAAAAAGGCTGTTTGATCCTGTCTTATTTGATCCTCCCCTTCTTCCAGTGCCCCCCTCTTATCCCCTGATAAGACATATTGTGTGGAGACACTCTGCACATGCTCAGTTTGGTGTGTATTGCTAGAGAGGTTTTTTTTTTTGTGGGAGAGTGCATGTGATCAGCACAGGGCCAATCAGCAATGTCCAGACAAAGCTTCAGGAGTTCTGCATCTTCCTAGAGCAAGATGAAAACTCCTCCAAGTTTTTACATGTCCTCTGCTGGAAAATGATAGAAGTCACAAGACTGCTCTAACTGTGGATGAGAAAAGATATTTAGCAGTTTATATTTACTAAAATAATTGCATTTCCATGTTGTGTGTACTGTGGGAGACCAGATATAGTGAATGCAGGGTCCGGGGAGACCAGATATAGTGAATGCAGGGTCCTGGGAGACCAGATATAGTGAATGCAGGGTCCAGGGAGACCAGATATAGTGAATGCAGGGTCCTGGGAGACCAGATATAGTGAATGCAGGGTCCTGGGAGACCAGATATAGTGAATGCAGGGTCCGGGGAGACCAGATATAGTGAATGCAGGATCTGGGGAGACCAGATATAGTGAATGCAGGGTCCAGGGAGACCAGATACAGTGAATGCAGGGTCCGAGGAGACCAGACATAGTGAATGCAGGGTCCTGGGAGACCAGATATAGTGAATGCAGGATCTGGGGAGACCAGATATAGTGAATGCAGGGTACGGGGAGACCGGATATAGTGAACGCAGGGTCCAGGGAGACCAGATATAGTGATTGCAGGGTCCTGGGAGACCAGATATAGTGAATGCAGGGTCCGGGGGTTTAGTATCACTTTAAATATTCAGTCTTCTGCTTTCCCTGAATAACCCCACACCCTGGGACAGGCATTTGTCAAGTGGGGTTAATACGAGTAGCTGGACCTGAGACAGGCACTCGTCAAGTGGTAATGTGGGGGTTAATACAAGTTGCTGGACCTGGGATAGGTACTCGTCAAATGTGCCGACTATGCCCCTCCCCCCTTCCATCCCCCTCCTTTCCGCCCCCCCCCCCCCCCCCCCCCCCCCCCCCTTTCCACCCCCCCCCCTTTCCACCTCCTCCATTCATAGAATCCGTACTATAGCTTCCAATAATTAAACGATTTTTATGAATAAAGGAATGGGGTATGAATGACAGGTGTGCCCCCTCAATTCATAGAGCACCTTTCATTGTGGGAAGCGATGATACAGCTTCTATTAATGGAGTGGGAGGGGTGGGGGCAGAATGGGTGACATAACCGGTCCAGCGGCTTGTATTAATCCCCTCAGCACTAAACGATTACTGCTGTGGGGGGGCACAGGATTGAAGATTTTAACAAAAACAGCAGCCAGCAGCACAAGATACACTTCTCATTCAATGTAACTACTGTCCCTTGTGCTGATTAAAAGAAAATAACTAAATCTAAGTCTTACAGTGACCCTGTCACTATACAAAAAAATTCTACTAAATCATACCTGTAAAAAAATGACAGGACCTTTCCTACCGCCTGTGTTGCTGAACTCCTTTTTATTGCCAAGGAATCTTCTTGCATTGAAACTGACACTTCCAGAAGTGTCAATCTCTATGGTCCCCTGTAGCTCTCACTAGTCCCTTTTGCTGGAACCAGTTAGAGCCCAGGGGCGGACTGACAACTCATGGGACCCCCGGACAATAGGGGATCATGGGGCCCCTGTGTCCTTGCCCAAACTCAAAAAAAGCCTATGAAAAAGGTACCAGGGGCATCTCATGGGGCCCCCTACTGACCCTGGGCCCGGGCAGTGCCCGAGTTTCCAAATGGTCAGTCTGCCCCTGTTAGAGCCTCCCAGAAGTGTAACATATTGCAGCTTACCAGTCCTTAGATATGGTAGCCAGGGCCTTCTATAAGGCAGGGCAGAGTGGCAGGGGCCATTTTTGTGGGGCACAAATCAGCTGCCCCATATTTCCCAATTGTCCCTGTTTACCTACCTTTGTCCCTTGAAGTCTTCCTCCTGCCCTGTGTCCCAATATCTCATTGTGAAGTGCTGTCACTTATACTGCCCAGCTCTGCCCTATTGCAGCGTACAGATGACCCAGATCATGTCAGCATTCACATGTAGTATAAACAGAAATCCTCCTGCGCAAAAGGGAAATAACCCTACTATAAGCTGCCAACACTTACAGTTGTGTCCAAAATTATTCAACCCCCACTGAAATTGAGTGTTTTGGCCAGTTTGACATTGCTTTTGATCATTCAGTCATCTTGCTTACATTTACATTAAAGAGGCACTTGTAGGTCAGACAAATATAACATAACAGTTATAATGAAATAACCACAAATGTCTTTTCTGTGCTCACAGCATTATCAGTTTTATTCAACCCCCAAGTGACATTCAATCTTAGTACTTAGTACAGCATCCTTTTACAGTTATAACAGCTTTTAAACGTGAAGCATAGCTTGACACAAGTGTCTTGCAGCGATCTACGGGTATCTTCGCCCATTCTTCATGGGCAAAGGCCTCCAGTTCAGTCACATTCTTAGGCTTGCGCACTGCAACTGCTTTCTTTAAGTCCCACCAGAGGTTCTCAATCGGATTTAAGTCTGGTGACTGCGATGGCCACTCCAAAATGTTCCAGCCTTTCCTCTGCAACCATGCTCTAGTGGACTTGGAGGTATGCTTGGGATCATTGTCCTGTTGAAAGGTCCAACGTCTCCCAAGCCTCAGGTGTGTGACGGACTGCATCACGTTTCCATCCAATATCTCCTGGTACTGAAGAGAATTCATGGTACCTTGCACACGCTGAAGCTTCCCTGTACCTGCAGAAGCAAAACAGCCCCAAAGCATGATTGACCCTCCACCATGCTTCACAGTAGGCAAGGTGTTCTTTTCATCATAGGCCTTGTTCTTCCTCCTCCAAACATAGCGTTGATCCATGGGCCCAAACAGTTCTAATTTTGTTTCATCAGTCCACAGAACACTATCCCACAACTTTTGTGGTTTGTCCACATGGCTTTTGGCATACTGCAGTCGACTCTTCTTATTCTTTGGAGACAGCAAGGGGGTACGCCTGGGAGTTCTGGCACGGAGGCCTTCATTACGCAGTGTGTGTCTTATTGTCTGGGCTGAAACTTCTGTACCCACATCTGACAAATCTTTTCTCAGTTCCTCAGCAGTCACACGGGGACTTCTCTCCACTCTACGCTTCAGGTAGCGCACAGCAGTCGAAGTCAGCATCTTCTTTCTGCCACGACCAGGTAGCGTTTCAACAGTGCCCTTTGCCTTGAATTTGCGAATGATGCTTCCTAAGGTGTCTCTTGGTATGTTTAACATCTTTGCAATCTTCTTATAGCCATTGCCCTTCCTGTGAAGAGAAATCACCTCTTCTCTTGTCTTCCTGGACCATTCTCTTGCCTTCACCATGTTTGTAACCACACCAGTAAATGTCTAGAAGGAGCTGAGTATCACAGTCATTTTAAAGCTGCCTAATTGGTGCTTATTATGCTTGATTGCTGCTCGGTGACATCCACAGGTGTTTTCAATACCTGATGGAAAGCACCTGTATGAACCTCTGTTCTTCAGAGTGGTAGTCTTTAAGGGGTTGAATAATTGTGGCAATGAAGAAACCACATAAGAACCATTTACTACTGTATTACATAAACAATTGATGTCATTTTAGTTGCATTTGGGTAGTTACAACGTCCTTGTAGGATTTGATTCTGAATACAATTCCAAATGTACACTATAGTCCCTAAACCCCTTTACAGCATTGGGGGTTGAATAATTTTGGACACAACTGTAATCTGTTACCCAAACAGTGATAATACCAAAAAATACATAAATAGTGCAGCGCTCAAAAAATAACCTATATACATAAATAAATGTGCTCACATGCAATAGTGACACACATATAGTGAAATAACCTAAATAACAAGTGCCACTTAATGATCTAAGGTGTCCACAGAATCATATAAATATATAAAGACGCATATATATAAATAACGTGTAAGAGCGCCTAAATATCAAACGTATAAATATCATAGGAAGAAAAATGATTTTAAATAATTTATAAAAGTGCTCCAAGTGTGGTGATATACCCACATACAATTAAATTTATTTCTCAAAAAAAAAACAAAATCGAACAAAAAAATTGTCCATAAAAAAATAGTGGCCAACACATGCAAAGTGAAAAAAGGTGCAAAAAATGCTAAAAATAGTGCAAAGCAAATGTGTCCTTGTTCCACAGCAGTGCAATTCTCCCCTCCTACGGCTAAATTGCCTCCTCACCTCCTTACATCGACCCCTAAGGGCCACACAGCATTCAGGATCTCTCTGGATCCTTATCC